TCTATGGTTGATCAATTGCTGAACTTAAGAGCCCAAAAAGACTTAGAAATATTCCACATTAGCCCGACTATACTTGAGCCTTCTTGGCACGGCTATGGATCTCGGGTGCGTGCAGTCTTGATGCGCGCATGATGCTTGGGCTCGGCATCTACTTGGGCCGAGTATCCTTACTCAAAGTAAGGTTGAACTTGCTCATCTCAACTCAAGAAAAATACTAAGGCATGAAGAGAACTTAAGACACACTTGGGCACGGCCTTAGGCTAGGCTCGCGGACTTGGGCGCGAGTGGCTTGAACCCGGACACGAGCTAGGTGCGGTATTTACTTAGGCCGAGGGAACACTTGGTTCTAGGGCTCGATACTAATGATCTCATACTTAGAAAAATTCTAAGTAAGGCTACAAGCGACTATGGCTTGATCAAGACTCGACACTACTAGGGGTCGAGACTTGGCTATGCGCGAACTAGGCGCGAGACTCGTGACCGAACAACTTGGTTTCGTTCACGACTTGACTCGGATGATTTATCGAAATATACTTAATTTCGATTATTCGTCAACTGGAAATAATTAATCCCGACTGCTGATGTCAATTTCTAAAAAAATAAACGGACCGGGATTAATTACTGAAACTGACTCGGTTACTGACTGAAATTAATCGAGAATACTTTCGACTTAAAGTCGAACTTAGAACTGAATAGCTGAATAACTGGGCTCGGAACTCTAAACGAGCAATATTAATAAAAGGAATTAGCTCAAACTCGGAACTAAAACTGTCATTTTTATTAATAACTGAACTGGGCTATTACAATCTATCCTCCTTAAAATTATTTCGGTCCTCAGAAATACTAGACTGAGAATACATACAACTAGGTACATATCAGAACTTAAAATCTGGAAAACGATCTCTAATGTCAGCTTCGTGCTCCCAAGTGGTGTCTGACTCTCCGTGGAGATTCCATCTGATACGAACGAGGGGAATATCTCGCTTCCTGAGCCGGTGAACCTTTCGGTCCAAGACTGCTACCGAATGCTCCTCGTATGTCAAATCTGGCTGAATCTGAATCTCTTTGTGCTAAATCACATGCTCTGGATCACACACATACTTACGTAGCATCGAAACGTGAAACACGTTATTCACGCTGGCCAACTCGAGAGGCAATGCTAGTCTATAAGCAACTTCGCCAAGTCGCTCGAGAACCTCGAACGGGCCTATATATCGAGGATGCAACTTTCCTTTCTTCCTGAAACGAACGACACCTCTCAGCGATCGAACTTTCAGGAATACTTTCTCTCCAGGCTCAAACTGCAGCTAACGTCTGTGCTTGTCGGCTGAGGAATTTTTCCGACTCTGGGCTGTCTTGAGCCTCTCTCTGATTAAGGCTACTTGCTCAACTGTCTCTTCGATCATCTTTGGACCGAGTACTAGTCGCTCTCCAACGTCATCCCAGTAAAGGGGCGAACGACACTTGCGGCCATAAAGTGCTTCATATGGAGCCATCTTAATCGACTCCTGATAACTGTTATTGAAGGCGAACTCGACTAGTGGCAACCACTTCTCCCACCTAGCACCTCTATCCAGAATACAAGCTTAGAGCATATCCTCGAGCGTCTGGATCGTCTTTTCAGACTGGCCATCTGTCTCTGGATGGTAAGCCAAACTAAACTTTAACTGGGTGCCCATTGCCTCATGCAAACTCTCCCAGAATCTGCTGGTGAATCTGGGATCCAAATCAGATATGATCGTAACAGGCACTCCGTGGAATCGAATGATCCCACGGGTATATATCTCGGCTAACTTGTCCATCGACATGGTCATCGTCACAGGCATAAAGTGGGCGACTTCCGTCAACCTGTCCACTACTACCCAAACTGCGTCGTGCTGCTCGGACGACTTAGGTAGCCCTGTAATCAAGTCCATGGTCACTTCTTCTCACTTCCACTTTGGGATCTCAAGTAGCCGTAGCAGACCTAATGGGCTCTTGTTCTCGGCCTTAACTTACTAACAGACCAAACACTTCTTAACGAAGTCTGCTACATCTCTCTTCATCCCTCACCACCAAAACGACTTTTTCAAGTCGTGGTACATCTTGGTACTTCAGGGGTGGGCTAGGTATGGCGCACTATGGGCCTCAGTTAGGATTTCCTTACGTAAAGTCCCGACTTTTGGCACGACAATGTGGCCTTTGAAATTAAGGCTCCATCTGTGCCTCGGTAAAAGCCCTCTATTCCTCCGGCGTGAACTTTCGTTTGTATAGTGCGAATGAACTGATCGCAAGACTGTTCCCGCCGGATTCTATCTCTCAGCATGGGTTGAACTCGCATCGAGCTAACACTCCCCGAAATCTCCTTAGGAAGTGAGTCGACGACCTCAATTTGCATCCGGGCGAACTCTCTGATGAGATGGCTCTGCTGAGTGATAGAACAAGCCAACTCACCCCTCACCTTTCGGCTTAGAGCGTCTGCTACAACGTTCGCTTTTCCCGAATGGTACTGGATAGTACAGTCATAATCCTTCACAAGCTCCAGCCACCTCCTTTGGCGCATATTGAGCTCCTTCTGGGTGAAGATATACTGCAAACTCTTGTGATCCGTAAAGATCTCACACCGACCACCATAGAGATAATGCCGCCATATCTTAAGTGCGTGTACAATTGCTGCCAACTCTAGGTCATGCGTTAGGTAATTCTGCTCATGTGGCTTCAACTGACGTGAAGCGTACGCTACGACTTGACCATCTTGCATGAGTACACCCCCAAGACCCTGCTTCGAAGCAACACTATAGATGGCGAAACCTCAAGTAGTATCTGGAATAGTCAGAACTGGAGCCGTGGTAAGTCTCTTCTTGAGCTCTTGAAAGTTCGTCTCATAATGACTCGTCCACACAAACTTCACAGACTTCCTCGTCAACTTGGACAGAGGAAGGGCAATCTTCGAAAATCCATCGATAAATCTGCAATAATACCCTGCCAGACCGAGGAAACTACGGATCTCGGTTGGACTCTTGGGCGCTCACCAGTTCCGAACTGCGGCAATCTTAGCTGGATCAACTTCTATCCCTCTCTCGGTGATAATGTGGCCTAGAAATGCCACTCTCTTCAGCCAAAATTCACATTTGGAGAACTTGGCATACAACTTTTCTCGTCTAAGGGTCCTGAGAACAACCCTCAGATGCTGCTCGTGCTCCTCTTGCAATAGACCAAAATGTCATCAATTAAGACAATAACAAACTAAGCTAAGAACCGATGGAATACACGGTTCATCAAGTCCATGAACACTGTGATAACCCTATAACATATTTTCTCGCTAACAAATATAAATCATATATTATGTGTTACCAAATAAAAATATTGTGTGCTTTTAGATGACTATTTTATAATACATACAAATTTACAAACAAAGTTACTACTAACACAATAATATTAACATTATTTTAAGTCTTGACAATTTTATTTTTAACCAAATAAGTATAATTAAGCATTTTATATAAGTATTTTCATTATGTGATACCCGAGCCCTACGCAACTCAGTGACTAACTTAAATCAAGCATGCTATATTTTCATATATGTGGCTAGCATACTGGTGCATGTTATTATGTGTGAACTAGTAGGTTTTGGAAGAACTAATCAACTTGGATAAATTTAAAAGGATTCAGCTATTACTTATACTAATAATACATTAAATTAATTACTAAAAAGTGATGAGCGTTATACTCTCGTGTAATTTAATTATTTTTCAAATCTATTTGTATATTTTGTCTTTTATGTATGTATTTACACATAATATATAAATATATTGGGTATGTGTTTGTATAAGATGCTTAATCTTTCAAATAAATATGTATAGAGGTTCAATGTTGTGATAAAATATTAGCTTTCGAGTTTATGCTATTTCATTTTATTCATAATGCTCTTTTTTAGTTTTCGATCTCAATTATAAGTCATTCAGTTATAAGTTCGACTTTAAGTCAAAAATCGATTCGGTTTAATTTTATATAATAACCGAGTCAATTTCGGTAATTAATTTTGATCCTTTTATCTTTATAAACGGACATTATTAGTCGGGATTAGTTATATCAAGTCGAGAATATTTCGAGAAATCGTCGAAGTCAAGTTTTGGTCGGAACCGAGCTAGTTTGGCCCAATCAATGTTCGAACTTTATTCAAAACCTTAACTAATTCTTATATCATTTCATAAGATCATTATTAGTTATGCTCGATTAGCATTTTTAGCCCAAAGTTAAGAATATTTTTCAGCCCAAGAGTAGTTCTTTTCACGCGGCCCAATGAATTGCCGCATCCATATCCGTTCGCGCTAGGCCACATAATTTCAAGATTAAATGGTTGAGAAATTTACCCCCTTTACATTCCATCCCCTAAATAATTTCAAATTTATGACCTCAAAAAATTTTCATCACAATTACGTTATTTAATAATTAAAATAATATTTATTGCGGTTAAGTTTGGCCTGATTGATCGCTAAGTGCGGTTAATCATATATAATTAAGTCCGATTTCAGTTTCAAAATTAACAAATAAATACACACAATTAAGATCCTCTTACATGATTTTTTGGGAAACGTGATTATCTCTCCATCTTTACACTCAACATAATAAAAAAAGAAAAGAAAAGAAATCACCATTTATCTCTCCATATCTCGGGTAACTTCTTCATCTCTCTCCCAAAAAAACTTCATCTCTCATACAAGAAAAAAGCTTCATCTCAGCAGAGAAATGTCGAAGCGAACAAAAATTGAGGGCAAATCATCCGAAATTGAAGACAAATCAAGGATAACTTGCTCCCAATCTCGTCAAAAATTGCAATTTCAACCTCCCGGGCGCAAGGTTGTACGAAAAAAGCTCTAATTTCAGAAAATTTAGGCTCCGAATCGTGGCAAAAATTCTATTCCGAAGACCGCGGACAGTGAGTCGGACGTCGGCGACGATTTTGTCTCCGAACGTAAAAAAAAAAAAAGAAAAAGGTGGCGGACGACATCAACAAGAAGATGGTTCGAGGAAAACAGGTTAAATCGAAAAATGTGGCTATATCCGATTCGGATTTCCAACTTGAAGAGGAGGAGGAGGAACCATATTCCAGTGATGTGGGTGCAGATATATCAAATGACGATAGTGACATGGGTTCGGACATCCCAAAGTTTGATGTAAAAAACGTAAGCGTCGACGAGATTTTTCGAAGAAAAAATCGGCTCAACACCAAGCAAAAGGAGTCCCCGATAATTCTACTCAAAATATCAAGGTACTTATTTTAATTATTAAGAATTTATATATTTCGAGATAAAAAAAAAAATAAAAAAACTTATATTATTATGTCTGTTGTGACTTAAAAAAAAGTATTATTATTAAGTATTATTATTTTGAGTGTTGTGACTATCGGTTGTGACTATTTGTTGTGAATCAAATTACAGTTCATACTTGTTTGAAATTGTGGAATTGTCTTTGGTTGGATTTTGGGAATGTGTTTGTGCTTGTGCAGTGATTTGTTAGGGTCGTTTTAGTTGATTTTTTGTTCAATGCTGTTTATACTGAATTGGTGTTTGTGCTTGTGTAGTGATCTGTTAGGTTCGTTTTAGTTGGTTTTTTGTTGAATACTGAATATACTGAATTAGGGAGTTAAACATTCTTCAGGTTTGAGTTTGATATGTGGGTAGGTGTAGTTGAACATGTATTTTCTGTTGTCTGTTATTCTATTATGATCGAAAAGAGAGGACTTCTAAAGTGGGATTTAAATTATTGTTTTGCTTAGTTATATATTTACTTTTGAAAAATTAAAGAGCTTAGTTAGATTTTCTAAAGTGGGTTATTTATTTATTTATTTATTATTATTACTATTATTATTATTATTATTATTATTATTATTATTTTGGTGAATAAATAATAATTTGCCAGACATGACTACTTTTTAGCCTGCAGATTCTTGACATCAATAATTTTTCTGCAGTTTTTAGTTTTAACCTAAAGTCTCATCCATCATATTGAGATAAAGTATATGTTACATTTTCAAAAATATGAATATGATGTTTATCTTATGTACATATATGTCCAATTTTTGTTATCGTGGTATAAGTATATTGCATTTCATGAATGTTTATATCTTGTTTATCTTATGTGTGTATATATATATATATTAGATTTTTTTTTTTAGTAAGTCATACATTGGATTCATCCATTTTGTTTACCTAACACATATATTTACATTAAGTATACTATTATTGTGTGTGTAATATATATGTTCCGTCAATTGGGTTCATTTCAGCATTTTAGCTAACCCACTTCATATTATTAATATACTCTTTCATTTGCTATGTACTTATAAGAATGGGAGTTGCTCATACCAAATCCAAGAACGAAGCACATCAAAATTCTCAATAGCAACGACAACAGCAAGGAAGATTCCACAATAAGCCAGATTAAAGAATTATTGACCGAGGGCTAACTCGAGATGTTTAAGAAAACCGTGTTCGGCAAATTCCTGGGCATACCTCACTTGTAAATTCCAGACTCAGCTAGTGAATTTGATTTTGTTACGTGAGGTACATCAACGTAAGTCTGACGAGGTCTGGGTGAATTTTGGTGGGAAGATGCTCCGTTTCGGCATAGAAGAGTTTGCATTGATATCAGGAATGCCATGCATTGTATCCAGCGAGAAATTAACCTTCCCCACAGTGACTAGCGGTCTCTACGACACATACTTCTCCAGGTTTCGATTGAGTAGGCAAGAGATACGAAGTCAATTCATCCGATTACTATAGGGATGAACCCAATCCGGAATATGAACCATAAAAGAAAATACCTATTAAACCGATCACAAGAATACCTGTTACAGTACCTATAATCCAAAGAGGAATCCTTCCAGTGCACAATCGGCAGAAGATACATACGAGAGGAGACAAAGAAAAGAGTGACTATCTATTCAGATGCTATGGATTTATCCTAGCATTACAAATCTGGTTTTATGAGATCTGCGACACAGCTAATGGTCTCATTTGCACACGCAGTGTCGGTGAAGATGTGCCTCGTATGTTGAGGTGGGAGGTTAAGAAAACCCACAACTGATCGAAACTTCATAGACATTTCATGAACTTGCCACATGACAATGTATGTTTACAATCTCCATTACTACCTTTCATTCTTTTATTACAATAATATACTGTACCGATGTTTTCTGATGCCTTTATAATCATAAACGTTTTCAGTTCAACAACTTGAGTCCGATAACTATTGAGAAATCCAGTCTTAATTTGAATGGGTTCTTCAAGAAAAGAAATGAATTTTTGGTAGATGACGATTCATCACCGCGTGCTCCAACGCACAGCTAATCAAGGCTCTTGAACAGATTGGATGAGTTGAGAAGAAAGCAGACAGAAATGGCCAATGATCTTCAAGCGCTGAAGAAGTTGTTTCAGGATTTCTTTGTCGCTGTTTTGAAGCGATTGGATCAGTTGGTGCGTTTATCTATTTAAATATAATTTATAATGGTAATGAAAACTTTTATTTTATCCATATTTATTCATATATTTATTTTTTTTCCCCAAATCATTTTCTAAATAGGGTGGAAATCTTGTTGCACCATCACATGATCAGTTTGTATCCGACGGTCCAAACAATGATAAGGGCGGTGCCCCAGACATTGATGTTGATGCAGGTCATCCTCAGTCAAAGGTTAGTTTTGTTATGTGTAATTAAAAATTAGTTTTGTTCAACCTGATAATATCATTTTTTTTACCAAATATTGTCCTTGTAAAAATTTCAAGAAGTCGATGACCGAGTTGGACGAGATACCGACGTGGGAAATGATCCAAACCTAGTATGTTAAACACAAATTTTAATTATGCTAATTTGTCTAAATTAGATTTGTTATTGTTATCTTAATAACCATTCATATCATTAATTTTTGTTTACATACTGTATATAGATAATATAACTTAACAATATTTTAAACACAAATTTTAATTATGCTATTTTTTTCTAAATTAGATTTGTTATTGTTTTCTCAACTATCATTCTTAATTATATTTTTGTTTACATACTGTATATAGATAGTATAACTTAACATGTATTGTTTATATATTATTCATATAATCTATATATATTGTATCTAGATATAGCTGAACATGTAATATTTATATACTGTTTATATACATGTACTCTATCTATATATACTGTTTATATAAAATCTATATACATAAATGAACATCTACTATTTATATAATGTATAATATACAGATAGTTAATATAATGTTTATATACAGTATATGTATAGTGTAACTATATATGTACTTTTATAGTTATTTATTATTTTTGTTTATATAATGTTTACATACTCTATATAGAAAGTATACCTATAGTATACCTGAATTATTTGTTTAATGTCATCAATTATATTTTCTGTTTCTACCAATAGACTGATGAAGCATTCAACCAGAATGCTATGAAGGGCAAGACTGATGAAGCAGTCAACCAGAATGCTATGAACGGCACATCCCACGACGTTACTATGAACCAATCTGATGGTGGTGATCACACGTTCTCTCCCATGAACACTCAATTTTTTGCCGAAATTGATAAGGCTACTGAAGGAATTACAAAAAGTCGATCTACCCGCAAGGGATAGGTTTAAAAATTAAAAATTATGTGTTTTTTTTTTCGTTTTAGTTGATATACATTAAACATATACATTAGATAAACATATACATAATATATTGTTTATTTTTCAGGAAGTTGCAGGCTATGGCCTTTCACTGAATAAACGCATCGGTCTGATATCCGAACTGATCATTGTGTCTCAACCATCATTTGACGCAATAACGAAAGATCTACCTCCAACACAACCTTCAAGAGATGTGAACCATACCAGTGTTAGTGTGGGTTACTTTTTCAATTTTTATTTCGATATTTTGTTGGCTATCATGATTAACATAACAATCTATTCGTAAACGATGTTTTTATTAATTTATTATGGTTTATCTACTTTGTAGGAAAAAAGGAAAATCCCCGTTCAAACAACTAATAATGGACCCAACGATGTGTTAGGTGTGGCCATACCTGCTAAGCCAGTGAAACCACCTGTGTTAAACCGTGTTCTAGCCACTTCATATAAACGGAATGTGATTAAAAATTCAAGTCCATTCAATGTTCCGTTCTGGAAGAATATATTTGAAGTTGACACATTAGACTTCATGAGGTGGCTAAGAATGGGTTCGCTTCGGACTTATCGAAAGATCCGTGAACACGAGTTAGTTTTATAATATTGTATATTTACTGATTATATTACGGGATATATTACTGTTTAGTAAGTATTAGTATAATTTTTTTATTAATTTATTTGAAACAATCTAAGTGTTGTATAGTTTGTTTACAAATGGAACATTCTTCTATATTGTTACAAAAACATAAATTTAGTGTTGGTAATACAATATACATGATGTCATAATTATTATTTTTTTACCAGGTTCGAGCACTACCTTAAGAGATTCAGGGAACTGAAGCCGCCATTCGACTTCAATGTTGCCCGTATCACTGATAAGAATTGGTTTAAGAGTCTAGTTGAACCTGGTTACTTTCTTGATGACAGTTTAAGTACATACTTACTACAATTGTGCATGCCATTATATGATTATAAATAAATTTTTTAAGATCTTGCTAATCACTACGAATTATCATGCCTATACAGCATATGGATGTTTTATTCTACTATCTGAGGAAGCTTAGACCATATGGTTCTAACGATGTCGTACGGTACACCATCACTGAAGTTCTCTTTGATCAGAAAATCAAAGCACTGTTTGACTTATACGTGTCGAGAGGTTCCGATACGGGTGTGTGTTCTTTGGACAACATTGTTGTCGATTACATAATGGGATACAAGATAATTTTTGGAGAGTCGTGGTTTAATGTTGATCATATCCTCTTTTGAATTCATATTGATTTGAACGGTGTTGGCCACTGGATACTAGGACGATTATCAATTGGTGAGAGGAGGCTCGTTGTATACAATTCTTGTCGATCAGAAGAGTTTGACAATATTGTCTATGACGGTGTTCGGTGCTATTCTACTCTCATTCCTATTTTCCTCGGTATGGTCCATTTCTACTCCAAAAGGACCGACATCAACAATGTGGGAGAAGCATTCGATGGAAAAGGGATGAATGATCTACTTGATGTTATTATGGCTGAAAATCTTCCTCAGCAGGAGCAAGGGTAAAGTCTATTAATTTTTGTATCATCCTTTATGTAGTTATCCACGTAAATTTTAACGTTGTCTTAACATGCTTTATACCTTTTTTTTTTTATTATCAGTGATTGCGGAATATTTGTTGCCTCATTTGCCGTATACTTCATCACTAAGTTTGATCTCCCGACCGACTATCTTCCCGACACGGAGAGGATGAGGTACTCATACCAGCTATACCAACATGGACGGATGAAGCAAAAATATTCGTGTGAGAGTGATGATGATTCTCCTAGGATGCTTGATGAAATACAACGTGCAAAACTCGCATATGTTTGTCTTGTGTATGGAGAGTTGAACCATGTTGGTACTATTTGGCATTATTTTTGTCGCATTCTTTGCTTTTTTTTTTTTTTTNTTTTTTCTGGTGAACTTCAGTGAATGTATATTGGTGCTATTGGTTTGAATATTGGATTTTGCACGATCTTAACCTATCAAAATGCACTTTTCGGACTATTTTTTTTCCAATCCGGTCTTGTAATTATATCTTAATATTTTTGCAGACATACACACACATACTTTCGGTAATGTGTTTACCTAACGTATATTATAAATAAATTAAGTAATGTGTTTACCTAACGTATTTTATGCCGTGTTGTAATGATAAAATAGAGACATAAGCACACATAATGTTTACCTAACGTATATTATGCCGTGTTGTATATTACATACTTTAAGTAATGTGTTTATCTAACGTATATTATCACATGTTGTCAACATAACTTATAGACATAAGCACACATACGTGTTTAACTAATGTATATTACATACTTTAAGTAATGTGTTTATCTAACGTATGTTATACCGTGTTGTCAATATAACTTATAGACACATATAGGCACCAACACAACCGTGTAGTTAGTGTCCACTCCTACTACTACACTAGTTATACTAATATATTTTTAGAAAATCAACTTGAGTACATGATTGTTACTTATTTATTGTTTATTTATACTCATAAGACACATAAATGTACCAAATAATCACTGGTCCCCTTTTCTTATATGTACAACTTATATAGGTTTGAATTTCACCATTCATTTATTTTATAAAATACTCCAGTACACATGTACCAAAAGTAAGGAATAATTAAACAACCATAACGGAAATGTCAGTAATATTATGTAAATGTAAACATTAAGTAAACACATCAAACTAATTTTGTTTCACGCTCTTCGGATTAGAACATGTCTTTACATTATGCCCTTTCTCACCACATTTGTTGCACCTATTTTTTACCCAAGACTCCCATCCTGGCTTGAGTCTTTGTTGTCGCCGAAGTCCTGGCTTCACTCTTCCAGTAGGTGGATTGATATTTCTAATGACATTAGAATCAACCGCGCTGAACTTTTGGCTTGTCTCAATAGGGAAAACTGGTTTTGCATATGTAGTTAGCATCGTATCCGTTAAGTAATGTATTGAACAAAATGGAACTGGATCCAAATGAAGTGCTCTAATCACTCGGATGGCATGTGGACAGGGAAATTCATCCATCTGGAAACGATTGCATGTGCAAGACTTCGTCTCCAAATTTACTACATATCCACTTCTGTCGGATGACACCTTAAACACCTTGTCGCTTGCCTTTTGTATCTAAAGGAAAAAAAATAGTTTTGAATGATAAATCGTGTAATAAATGGTATATATACATATTTATATATAAATTTATGTATATTAAAAAACAACACAATGTTATATAATTTAATGTATCTCACCGAAAAGCTGGCAGCTTCTTTATAATTGTTTTCGAGCGTCTTGTGAGCCTTCTTTGCTAACGTTGTAAACGTCGACGCTGCTTCATCTCTATTAGCCACATTCCACTTTTGTTGTAAAGATCTCAATGACTCCAAAAGTGTTGTTATTGGTAAATCACGGATCTCCCGCGTGGCGGAGTTAATTGCTTCTGCCACATTGGACGTCATCGTAAAATACCTGTTGCTTGGACAATGAATCCTTGCCCATTTATGTATTCTAATTTTCTCCAAATACGGGGGTACTCGAGAATCAAGATTTTTTATCTCCGCCATATGATGATTGTAATCATCAACAGTGTATGCCCTCGCAGCTGCATTAAAGGCATCCTTAACAGCTTTTGGTTCTTTCTTGAAATGTGTCCGCAAGTTGTTCGATATATGATAGGCACATAAACAGTGTGAAGCCTCTGGATATACCTTCATGATAAACAAAATATATTTAAATAATCAAGACAAAGATTACAACAATATGAGTTTGTTTATTTACTGTTTATATTACGTTTATATACGCAAGAGGTCAGACATATAAGTTTGTTTACTTACTGTATATATTACGTTTATATATACAAGAGGTCAGACATATGAGTTTGTTTACTTAATGTATATATTACGTTTATATACCCAAGAGGTCAGACATATGAGTTTGTTTACTTAATGTATATATTACGTTTATATACCCAAGAGGTCAGAAGTGTACCTTTGCAACTGCATGTTTTATACTTTCATGTCCATTAGAGACAATGCACAAACCTTCCCGGACAGTGAGTGCTTCCCTCAACTTTGAAAAGAACCATGTGTATGAATCATTATTCTCAGAATCAACAATGCAGAATGCCAATGGAAGTATATGGAAGTTGGCATCTTGACAACATGCTATAAGCAATATCCCTCCATATGCCGAACTAAGGAAAGTCCCATCGACAACAATAATAGGTCTACAATGATTTCAACCTTTAATTGAAGCATTGAGACACATCAATACGTACATGAAGTGCTGGTCCGATGTGGCAGAAAATCTCACGACACTAGGTGGGTTCGATTGACAATGTTTTTGCAAGTACTCGTTTATTTTACCATAAGACATTTCTGGATTAGCTCGTACTTCTTCCATACCTTTTTTCTTTAACCTCCATGCCTTCTGGTAAGATAACTCTATTCCATGTTGAACTTGCATGTCGTGGATTATGTCCCCTGGAACATAAGTTGTCTTCAAATTTGTGAATCTCGATCGAATGAACCCACTTACAATGTTGGACGTAGCCTGTCGTTAACCACTTGTACGTATTTCAAATGGACATGAATGGTTGCGCCCCACATCCCGAATCTTGACAATGTTGGAATTTCCTACCTTTGACGCTTTAACATACCATTTGCATTCCGTAAATATGCACTTGACGTAGTACTGCTTCGGACAAGACTTCTCCACTTTGAACTGGTATTGGTTTGTTATTGCATGGTGGCTGAGCAACTTCATCACTTCATTTTTATCTCTGAAAGTTTGGCCGACGACAATATCCCGAATCATACTTCCATCGACACCACATTCCAGTGTTCTGGAGTTGTTTATCTCCTGTTTATCTTCCGTATACTTTACGGATTCCAGCATTGTATCTGCAGCATGTTCGGCAAATGCTCTATTGTAACGCCCCATTTTATTTTAAAGAATTTACCGAATTTATTTGATAAAAATCAGAGTTATTTTTTTTTTTAAATCCAATTAAAAACATTTATCGAGAAACGGGCGGCGCTACCTATTAACCACAGCAAATGAACACGTCCAATCAATCAAACCAAAGAACCTACACATGCTTGAGCTATCAAAATAAACGATGGCATAAAACATAAATCTCAAAATCACTCCCAAATGTCTATCACGAATCCAGGTTCAAACGAAAACTCAAACATAGTTCGAACGCACATAAATAAATAATCCAAAGTATGAAAGCAAATGATTAAGTAACAAGTTCTTGCACAACACATAATCAGTATACGAAATCAAGCAGGGATATAAACACATAATAAAATATCCAAATCCAAGCGGGAAAATAATTCAAGTCAAGATTCAGTTCAACAAATCATAAACAGGCGGAAGCATAATATATCATCAAACAGTGACCACCATCTCGCTCGTCCTACGCCACCGCCTCCAGCTCGTCTCAACCTAAAACAAAAGAAGAGAGAAAACAACAAAGAAAATAATGGGGGTGAGCAACCAACTAGCTCACCATTATCGCACGGTTATCTCGTATAATTATTTAGAAAGCAGTTTCATAATAAACCAATATCAATATCCGTATGCATAGAATTCATAGCCTAAACCCCCTACCCGGCCCTATCGCAAACCTCCTATGTACATACAACAAACCTTCCGACCACTCATCGGCAAGGCCGTAACTGGAAAATTTCCCCCACCACGAACCACTCACGGATCATGGGAGTCCACCCCGAACTACTCACGGATCATGGATGTTTTCCAGGAGACAGTGGAGATGTTTTTCCCCCCCGAAACTCACACGGATCAGGGCGTCTCCTCCTGGATACAACGGGCAGGTGACCTCTCACCGTTATGCATTCGTCAAAGGCACTATCGTTCGGGACACTTAGACTAGAGTTCTCATGCATACAATAATTTTCAAAAGAAAACATTATACGAAATAGTAAGTGCGATAAATATGGAATACATCATAAATGTACCCACCTGGTTACCGAAGTAGCAAAAAGCATAAAAAAGCTGAAGAACGTAGGTCAAGGGCTCGACTCCTCAAACCTAAAAATGAGGGATTGAATTATTATTATTAAGGGTTTTGGTTGAGGTTGACTAGGCCACATAAGCAAGTAAAGCACACTTCAACTACTGGACCGCATCAAAAGGCTCAACACCAAATATAATCAATCAAAGCTCAAAAACAATAAGTCGAACTTATAATACACATAAGGTACAACACATAAGCATTCAATCAAAGCATTCAAACCACATGACATAGCCTTCTCTTATCTCTTGTTTAAGAAAATAAAAGTCATAATGCCTTAACTAAGCATAAACACTCCCAACTGCATACATACCAGAAATGCTAAACATAAAGCCCAGGCTCAAAGTAAATCAAATAACAGAACATATACCTTTCCCATTTTCACATCATAAAAAAAAAAATTAAGGTTTTAACACCAAAATGAAGGCTATGAATAATTGAGATACATTACTCTAAAAAAAAAATTATCTTCCTACAGCATAGATAAATTATCATCCACTCAGCTTAACCTTAATTCTATAAACCACAACAACTGAAGTTTAAATCCATTATCAACACATAACAGGAAGAATATTCATACACACAACAACACATCTTAATTCTTTCTCAAACACTTGCCATTTTTTTTTTAAATTGAGATATAAAATGGTTAAAAGAAAACTTCACTTCAGCAACATACTCATCAACTGGCTCAGCATATATCACATTACAGCTTACAAAATAGCACATTAACTCAGCACCCAAGTTATAACAAAAAATAAAATAAAATAAAAAGGCACCAAAACAACAAATACATACTTTCGGCCCATAAGACTTCTCATAAAGGCTCATAGCAGCTCCCTTAAACTCATGTATCACCTCAACAGATATCGGCATAAAATTGCACATCATATCAGCCCGTA